ATTCGATCTTGTAACCAGCCGAGTCGTTGTTGATGTAGTATGTGATGCAAGCCTTGTCGGGCGAGTAGAAAATGACCAGATCCATGGCGTTCTGGCCAACTCGTCGCCAAGTCCCGATGCTCAACGATCGACAGGTGAAATGTTGGATAACTATCTATCCATTAGCACATTGACAAGCCTTTTTGCTTCGTTCGGGTCTCAACATACCAACTTTGCCTTGAGCACTGGGATCACCATTCATCAGCATAGCTCCGCCACCGTACTGTGCCATAGGCCCGCCTGGTCGCAGTAGCTGCCGAGGGAATGGTCTTCCGGATTCCATGGCCTGCATGGCCAGCAGCTGTCTCAGGGATTCAGGGATATTGTCCAAATCCTCGCCATTCTCCAAGCTTTTCTTCGCAAGCATCTTTATCTTGGCGCGGCGACGACTAAATCGAACAGTCAGCATCAAACGCGTCTCGATCGCCATGAATCATTGCCCTACCTGTTCTGGAACCAAATCTGAACGGAGCGTTCAGTCATGTTAATCTCCTGGGCGATACGTTCACGCGTGGCAGCTGTGGGAGTGGGATTCTTGTTGAATTCCATCTCCAACGTCACCAGTTGATCTTGTGTCGCCCTTTGTCTCTTTTGGTTCTTTTGTTGCTGCGTCAGAGTGCTCTTGCGAGGCGGACGGCGAGCAGCCGACGAGGATCCTTGAGTGTTTGAACTATTCGAGTTCGCAGGCGTGGTCTGCGTGTGTTGACTGGCATTGGGGGAGGGAGTGGATTCGACCGAGACGTCGAGGTCAAGATCTGCCGGGTCCGACAAAGAGTCCATCGCGTCCATCAGGTCGACCTTGATGTCAGGGTTACCCATGGTGGAATATTTGCTTTTCTCTTCTGCCTGGTATTTCACTCTGGCCGTATAAAATGGATTGATTTGCTCGTAGGGCAGAGTATAGTATGGGGGTGGGGGACACGTTGCTTCGTTAGAGCGGGAAGAGATTGTCAATTGCTGAACCGAGCAGCGAGAGAGAAAGTGACTTCGTGGCCCAGCGAGTTCGACGACTTCAATGCTCGTGCTCTTGAAAGGGGTGGGGTTTTTGGGTAAAGACCGTCTTTGGATTGGAGCGAATGGGAAAAATAGAAGCAAAGAGCTTAATGAATGTGGTTCGAGGGCCTTGAAGGAGTGAAAGGCACAACTCGAAGGTTGAGGATTGAACAACAAGAGAAGGAAAGAACGTGATACAGAGGGATAGAAGAATGGTAGGAATGGGTAAAAAGCGACAGTGAGGATGGAAGGGGAAAAAAAGAGACGGACGGAAAGACGAGACGAGAGGAGCAGGACATTAAGGGAGGGCAGCAGGGCCCGCGCGCGCGGTGAGTTCCAGTGCCCCCGGAGGAAGCGGTAAAGAAGGCCCAGGGCGGCTGCTGAGTGGTCAGGCAAGCCCTTCTGGGCCTCTCGGACGCCCAGGAACTATACCCCCTGTCCCCCAAGCTCTCTTTAAGCCCAAGACCAATGCAGGAACACGAAAGGCCCCAAACTCAAAAGCCGCACGGGCCCCCCCTGGTTGTGTCGGCGGGTCGTGTCCTTGGACGGGTCTAGCAGTCCCTGCTAGCTGAAAAGGGCGTCATTAACTCCACTGACGCCTCGTTCTGCACCCAGAATCTTACATGGCGTACTCTAAGCGTCTCCTAAGCGTGCCAAAGAGCGTATCCACTACGCCTTGATCAGACTAGCGTGAAATCCAACGACACCTTGTTTGTACCGACCGCCAGCTTGTCGCGCCCGAATCCCCTGGAGGGATTTGCCAGCTCCATGCCTGACGCGCCCCAAAGAAAAACACACCCCCAGAGACGCCAGGGAAGCACCAGAGGATCAGTCAAAACACCCCATGTCACAACATGGATTCATGCTGGCTGTCGTGTCGTCTCACCCCATCAGGCCAGGGCTGCCAGGCTATTGAAAACCCTCGGTCGCGGTTCCTGATTCGTTCCCCGCCGGTATTGTTCCGACAGCTTGCCCGCCACCACGGAGTTGCACACAAAGCAGCCAGTGCTCGACCATCAGATGCTGGAGGGGACCCTTTGGATACAGGACTCTCACATGAGCAATATATTTTTTGGTGCTAAGAGAACGGTCGAGCCATCAGTCATGCGTTGAGTACAACCACCACCGAGTTGAGGGGATTTCAATTTGCTATCCGCTGTAACACTGCTGGGACGCGTCTTGAGACACGAGACTGCCGCTTCACTGCAGCCGCCAACCTGATAACCTGTACATGCGAGTAGTTCAACATGAGATTTCCCCGAGCTTTTCGTCAGTGCTGTACGAGTACTCGATAGACCCAGTGTCACTCGTGCAGCTAGCACGCTGTGTTTCTCAGGAAAGCGGGAGATCCTATCGAGCTCACCCTTCGTATTCCATAGGCGATGCCGTTGCCACCGTAGGCTGCGGTCGACCATTGAAACCAGGTCATGAGATGCTTCTCGAAACAATTCGTGCGGATGCCAACCAGTCTGGTGTCCCATGCCGGACCTTGTCTGATTCATGTAGTCTGTGCACCGTTACGACGGCACCAATGACGCGAGGAGACGAACTCATGTTCCTGAAGCTTTTGCACAAAGGCACGTCGTGGACAATGATTGGCCACATCCAGCGAGGTCTTCATCTCTGTTCAACACGCTGCTGGCAGTTATGATTCGCTACAGAACAATCGGACATGCTTCTAGGCTTCGGAGGGTCGTCATGATGTGCAAAGTGGTTGTTGAATTTGAACTCGTCAGGCCGGCAGGAAGTCGATGTACCAGTGGTCTCACACATTACATTGGACAGCCTGCTGAATCTAATCGTGGGAAAGAAAGCCAGTAACATGCACGAAAGGTGGCAAAAAATTCCCGCGCCAATGCCTGTCTCAAATAATGGTGCGAATCTGCACCTAGCCAGTGCTTCTTCTTGTGCAAGTTCTCGTGTGCTCTTGATTGGCCACTCCGCCAACGACAAGGCCATGAGATGTTGCACATGCCAGAGGTGGTCCATGGGACGATCCTCCTGAAGGTCCAAACCGGTCGAATGCTCCAGCACATACCCGGGTCCTGCTGCCTGCATGGAGTGACATGGATATTGAGACCGCCAAAGTGTACTTGCTACCCTCGTATTCGGCTCACCCCAAAGCCCGCTGCCTGCTGTCGCCACAATGATTTGTTTTTACGGAAAATGGGCGGATAAAGGAACCATGGTCAGTGGCGAGATAGCTTCTCTGAGTCCTCGGTACTCGTAATCCGAGCCTGTTGCCCTATGGATGGATTCGTTTACTCGTACACCCATGTATGCCCAGGTCTCTCTGGCTTATGGACCATGTGTATTGCGTCCAGAGCCATCCGCTTTCCCCGTGGCATTGAGACTCGAGAGCACGAGCAAAGAAGGTTCAAACCACGATCTAGTGGACGCGATAAGTCGAAATGGTTTGCGGCCTTCGATAAGAAACAGATAGGGGTCGGAGGTTTGCGCAATGCACACCAACCAAATTGAGGCAGAGGGCCTGGTGCGTTGGTGGTGGTCTGATGAGGCTAACCCTCGTGAAGTGTGGCAGGTGCTGCAAAGACGAAGCAGCTATACCGCAGAGGGATGCTGGCATGATGCTTGAAGCTTTCCTTCTCTCGGGCTGTTGATGTGGCACCCACGCTGTCGAGCCGCCTGCATGGAACAGTCCCAAGCCCATGAGGATCTAGTGCTGCATGAGACATGGGGTGGCTTGTTTCTCCTTTACTCCGCATCCTTGCTTGTGGCACTTCACAAGGAACTAATGCCAGGTACCCAGCCGCGATCATTGGAGGAACAAAGCGCCTGGTGGCCGAGCAAAGTGGGCCATCCAGACAAGACCAGCCAGGGATCCAGGATGATACACAAAGGTCACCCCCTCCCCCCCTGATGCCGCTACCCAGATTGATAAACCTTCAACGGTGAATAACGGTGAAGGAGAGAAAAACTCTTCACCACGTGTGGAATAACCGTTACTCTTGTCTGGAAGAACCTTATTTTGTCACAAAGAGCAGACCAACCTAGCGACGACCGAGGAGGGTAAAGGAAATATCGAGGAGAAATTCGGTGGTCGGTTTGAAGAGGATTTTCAGTACGAGGGATCGAGGCATCTCTCCCGCAAGCGCAGTCAGCTCTGGGTGTTGAATGATACGAGGACATCAGCCGATCACCCCCGTTCAGCTGGGCGGCAATCGAGGCGAAGGAGAAGCAACCTCGACCAGGCGGGTCCATGGAGGGTGAAACACCCAAAGAAAAGAACCTCCGTTTCTCCTTGTGGGTGTCACGTTGGAAGTGAATCCCTGCCAAGGGGGACCTCGCTTCCCCAATGGCCGGTGGATGTTTCCTCAAACGCACTCGACCCAAAGCTTCCCTCTTCCTCATTCTCTTTTGGTGCCTCCGTCCTTTTAGTTCTTTCGTGTACCTTTCCTACTACGCTGTCTTGGCAGTGTCGTCTCAGACAAATCCCTCAAGACTTATCGCATGGGCGACGATCTCTTCAGTCAGCGTCCGCGCTGGTGGAGGAGGCGTCCAGGTGTCGAACAGAGAGTCGATTCCTCCAGCAGGATGGGGCGCAGGTGCTTGTCCCCCTATACGGAGTACAATGTCTCACCTCAAGACCCATCTTAGACCCAAAGCAGGCATTCCACTCGACGATACCGATTCTACCTCATGCACAGAATCGATAGCACGAATCCCCCTGTCTGTGATTGCGAATACGGTGAAGAGAAAGATCTACGAGGTACCGAATACAGGGACACGAATATGGAGTAACGATATGACAAGGTGGACGAATCCCCGTATATTTTCATACCCGATTGCTCCCTATATGCATGCCCTCTTAAGTTAATTCATGTTCCAAATCCTGGTCGCATGTTCCGTCATAATTCAGTGCTCAAACACGCTGTACATTTCATACTCATTTCTAATCCAGTCCCTCAAAAGGCGTCCTAGGGGTATCTTGGTCGTCACCCATGTCTCTATCGTAGTAACTCCTGGCTCCTGCGCACTGCGCCAAACCCCTTGCTGAAAAGTTCGCCGATATCGATTGACTTTCGTTGTTCCGATAGCTGTACTTCGCTCATTTCGTGACTGCTCGCTTCTCGGTGATTCTGTGGTCTTCTGGTCCGGGGCTCTGCTTTGGTGCTGAGTCCCGAGTCGTTCCTCCTCATGTTGGGCTTTCGCCTGTCCGTCATGTCTCGAGGCTTGTTCAACAGCTCTTGGACTTGTGCCTCCCGTTCGGCTTGTTCGGCTTGTTGGGCCGCTTCTCGGGCCAATTCCAGGCTGGACTTCTTGGTCCCTCTGTCCCAACCCTGTTGCAGGAGATCTGCCGCAGCCTCTTCAAACCGCTTGCGAACCTCTCTATCTTGTTCGAATCCTTGGAAGACGTCCACGTCGCTAGGCCACACCGCCGCGCTGATCGCTTTGATGATTACTTCGAGCAGACACACAGCCGAGATGGTCCAGAGCAGTGTGATCCACCAGAGAAGATTGCGTCCGAAGCGATCCAGAAGGGCGTGGTTGACACTGTACACAGGGTTGAAAGGGTATATGCTTGACAGAATAAGATTCCACAACCACCATCCACCCACTGACAAGAAGATCGCTATCGCTGCCATTACCGATTTATGGTGCAGTTCGATGAACTGCAACTTCAAAGAGATGATCACCACACAGGCAGTGAATACCAGGGAGCCAAAGGCGTACAGCTCCTGGTCGCGGGTGAACAAAGCGAGGCCGTACATGCCGTAGATCATGAAGTAGACAAGAACTGCTTCACATACCGCCAGTGCAGACCACCTCAGATAGATCCAGAAGTTGAATCCGCGGTCCCGTTGACCGTAGTTGTAGAGTTCTGGCACTGCCAGCAACGTCGATGCAGCCAAGTCCTTCTCGAAGACCCCCAGGAAAATTACCGGGAGAGATGTGAACAGGGTATTGAACATGGACAAACTCCACGGCTCGTACAAGCTTGTGCCGGTGTATCCATTCCATCGCTGGTAGAGAGCCTGAGCATTGTAGAACATCATTTCTTTCCACAAAGTACCGAGAAGATATTTGCAGATTCGAACATAGTGCCATCGCCCATGCACAAGCAATAGTTTCAACAAGAAACGGAATTGCGCAATTGAGTAGTCGGAGGTTCGTGCAGCTTGGAGACCTTCCTTACCTGCAATTCCAATTCCCAGATGCGCCTCTTGGATCATAGCAATGTCGTTGGCGCCATCTCCAATAGCCAATGTTACAGAACCCTTGACTTTGGTCCTGATGGTCCGGACCAGAGAAGCCTTCTGACTAGGGGACGCCCGGCAGCATACCACGGAGTCAGCCCGGATCGCAACGTCGGTGAAAAGCGCCCTTGTCGCACGGTCGGCGTCGATAATAGTCAGAGTTTGTCCATCGATAACTAACACGGAATGCGCCGTCTTCTCGTCGGCGATCTGAACAAATGCCTGCGCCAGTCGGTCATGCAAGTCCCCAAACTCATGGTCAAGGACAATGACAGTAGAATAATCCTTGATCAATCGACACGAGTGACCAATGTTGATGGCAGTCTCTCGTTTGTCACCAGTAAGCATCCACATCTTGATACCGGCTCTCCGAAACCGATCAATGGCATCCGGAACACCTTTCTGAAGTTTATCCTCAATTGCGGTGGCTCCAAGTAACTCCAATCTGGTCTCAAGTAACTCCGCTGCATGTTCAATTTTCTCCTGCCGATCCACGATGCTTGTTGTCGCAGATAGATAGACCTCTTTCCAAGTCTTGTATTCATCTTCGGTCAGGTAGCGATATGCATACAGGAGCGTTCGGAGGCCTTCTGTCGCAAAGTCATCAATGTGCTGGAAACAACGTTCGAACACGACATCATCGTCTAGAACAAGGCTCTCTTCAACTAGATCCTCCGAATCGTCGACTTGCATGGAAACACGAGGGGTGATCTGAGGCGAGTATTGAGCTTGACCACCCACGTGGCTTTCCGACTTGCGAGTTGTAATCTGCATTGATGGTCGAGGCGAGTAGAATTGAGAGCTTTTCCGTCGTTGAGAAGTCCCCACATCTCTTTCACGTTCTTTCAACCAATGGTCAACGCTATCACGAGCAGTTCGAGAAGGGTCGAAGGAGAAGCCGCTCGGTCTTGGTGAAGCCGCATTGCCGGAGCTTGACGTTCTACTCAACTGAGTGCTGCGCCTTCTCAAAGCTTCTTGGGCCTCGACACTTTTCCGCTGACTGGCTCGTCTTTCTACAGCTTGCACATTCGAAGCTGCCAGATCTGCTAAGCGCAAGAGTTTCCGAATGGTACTGTCCGCCCCCTTACTGACCAGGCAAATACGTTGATCGGGAAAACGTACGACGACCGACATTCGTTTCCTGGCGCTGGAAAACTCAATAACATCCAGCACTTCGTAGGTTTCATAGATGGGAGAGTCCTCGTCTCCGTCAGAATAAGTCTTGATCGTCACTGTGTTGGACTGTCGATCGGTAACAATGTAACCCAAGTCTTGTGCGGCTGTCACCAGAGCCAGTTCATCCGGAGAAGCAGCCTGATATTCAATGTTTCCTTCATCGTCTTTTTCCGGAATACAAGTATGGCATAGAGCCAGTGAAAGAAGAAAGAATCGACCTTTCCGTGCAAAAGCAGTATAAGGTCGCCGATAGATGTAATCCAGTAGATCTTGGGTCTTGCCTGTTTCCGACGTCATGTCGAGACCGTTTGACGCTCTCCACTGAGTGTCGTCCGCACCAAGCACGTCCTTTGTCTGATTATCAATTCTAGTACTGGCTGACGCAGTAGATTTCCGAAGAGCCCTAGATAAGGACGTCCGCAGCTTCTTCTCCGGGCGGTGTTCCTTTCCTTTACCACCTCGCTTTTTGTGCCACAGCTTCTCGCGGCCAGCTCCGTCTACAGCTTCGTCTTGCAGGTCGAGGTCATGCAGCCACGCTGTGCCAGCGATGCTCATCTTCCGAAATTTCATCGAATTGTTCGTAAGTGTCCCGGTCTTGTCAGAAAAGATATAGCTGACCTGACCTAGTTCCTCGTTGATTGTCGAGGTATGCGGTTCCATCGGGGTGTCTGATTCAGGATCGTACATATCCACATCGTTCATCAGGAACATCTGGGCCAACTTGACGATTTCGAGTGACACATACAAGCTCAGAGGCAACATCGTGTTCAGCATTATGATGAAGGAGGTCAGAACATGACCAAAAGGCACTTTCGCGTCCTGGAGGTACCACGATTTCTCCTCAGTTGTCCGACGCCAAATCTGATAAGCCACAGTCAGGATGATGGCCATGAAGATGACGAGGGACGCCACAAAAATGACGACTTTGTTAACCTTTGCCTGTAACGTCGGTGCTTTGACCCGTGGAGTCTTGTTAGCATTCATACGTATTTTGCACTCCTCGCCAGAATAGATGACCAAGCCAACTGCATATGGAGTATTGCGCAGGACACTACCACGATACAAGACTTCCGAATTGGTCAATGGTAGTGTCGATCCGTTAATCGTTACCCTGCCATCGAATTTGTAGAGATCCAGGTTCGGATCCTCGACCACGAATTCAGCAGGGAGCCTGGCGATGGCATCGAGATCTTGACAAGCGGCACTCACTTCGCCGACAGGCTTTCTGGATTTGAGGTTCGTTTCACCATCAAGGCTTTTCGTCTCAACGTAAGCAGTGTTCGCGGGGTCGTCACTATGAAGCAGTATCAAGTCGGCGGGAATTCCGGCATCTCTCTTCAGTTGTACGATATCGCCAACACGGATTTCGCTCCAAGTTTTCTCCTGCCATTCCGTATGGCTAGAGCCAGATGAGGAAATCCTGAGAACCTGCGTGATTCTTTCGTTCTCTTCCTTGTCCAGGCGATGTCTCCTAATGTCGTCATATCCTTCTTTGGCCATGGATAGAGCAACAAAGATCAGAAGCGGGATTATGGTGGTGTACGTCCCTGTGGTACTCAGACCGGGTATCATTTGAAGTATGGAAACGCACAGGAAGTAGAAGTTCGCGAGTTTTCCAAATTGGGCGACAAGCTGTCTGGGGACAAAGTTCCAGGGCGTGTAGCGACAAGAACGGATGACGTTGCTGATGTAGGGCTTGCCAGTCCTCTCGTCGAGGGCGTGATCAGCCTCTATCACATTCACTCTGATATGCCGTCCATCAAGACTGGGCGGAATGGTGTTGGCTCGAATGATTTTGTCCCGTAACAGAAGGTATCTTTCTGTGAGGCGCTTGAGTAGAGTTGAGCGAGAGTGATGTGTAGACATCCATCGTCGGTACAACGGCAGCTCGAGGTCTGAATCCGATAATCGAACAGGTCTGCGCGCATCAGGTTCTTCTTCCGCCTCCTCAATAGTGATCGTGGTCGGGCGCGAGTCAATCTTTGGTGCGTCGGCCCCAGCCTTTGAAGGATCCATCTCAAATGTACCTGCATTGTCCGAAGCCTGCCTCTGGATATTCTGTGCGAAAAGCGAACGTCTGAGGGAGTATCCCCGGCTGCGGCCCACGGATGGGCTCTTAAGTATGCCAGCATGAGGACGAGCAGAAGTTTTGATCTCCCTCGTTCGTATATCCTCCTCTGTCTCTCGGGGCAGTTCGATCGAGAAGCGAACCTTGGACGTGTCGCCGACACAAGGTTTCTTCGCAGTCAAATCCGCTGTGTCTTGGGTCGATTCACCATTTGTACCGACGTGATATGTGTCTTCGCTCAAAGATTCCCGCTCACTGTCGTCGCGATTTTGACCACCGGGGCCTTCTGACGGGTTTGCTGCCATTGCGAACCTCTCGAAAGGCTTCTAGGAGCGGGCGCAAAGGGGTGGTATGGCTTGATTGTTTCATCGGCGCAGTTCTCTCCGAGGGTTGAATTCACTTGTTGGGGGCAAAGAATGGGAGACGAAAAAGTTCCTTTGTGAAGAGACGGACTCGACGAAGGTCAACTTCACGTATCCGAAACAAAGACATTGCTCAGAAGGCGATGGCGACGCAGAAACGACGTGTCTCAGATTGCGCGGCTGTCCGAAGGGACAGTTGGGCGAGCTCGTGGAGAGGCGGTGGCAGTGCATTGAAATGTTGCGCAAACAGCAGATTCAACGGATCTCCGAAACTGGTGGTGATAGGGCGTGTTCGCCACGCCCACCAAACAGGATCGCAGGAACCTGCAACAGCGTGGCAGCGGGCACACCCCGACGTCAAAAATGTGGGCAGATGGTGGGGTTTGAACGGGCATCGCTTGAGCCTCCCACTCGAGCCACTCTCCCTGGGCGGGTTGTCTTCGGCGTGACAAGGTGAATAGGTGGGTGTGACATCACGCCTAGATCACCTTTGGCACCATGGCACCTACTCGGTAAACAAGTCCTCGTATCGCTTTGAGCCCGACCACTCGTCTTCCCCGATGCAACCTTTTCTAACAACTTTTCTCCCCACGGTGCTGTAACGAATTGCCCAAATGGGTCTGGTCTGTCTTTGTGGTTCACTTCCGTCTCTGTCGATCCTCAATCGCTGACGCAGTTCGTGCGATCGTCTTCGCGTCGTCTACAATTGACATGGTCGACAATGCCTTTTGACGACTGAAGTTCCGCCATATTTGCATCGATGTAGTGCACCGGTGTCTAGATGATGAGGAGTAGAGTCGAAGGAAAAGTGCGACAACACACAAGTTGGAATACATTACCAGGGTTGCCGCAGGAGATGTACCAGATGTTCGACGGCATCTCCAGCACAAGAACAGGCCTTTTGCTGCTGGATTTCCCAGCCATGCGAGGTACAGTTGAAAGAAACCCCGGCAGTCGTTAGGTCCATTGCTGCGCAGTTTTTGACACACTCACTTCGTTTAGACCTTAGCTCCTGAGGCATGGCTCCCAGGTGCCAGCTCAGGTGCTGGTATTTCGATTGAACATGGCTGCCACCCACACAATCGAACCACTTTTCAACTCCCTAATCGATCCCTGGCCTTTAGATCGTCATTCGGCCGCTTGAGATATTGAGACTCACAGAGATCCTAACGTGCTCGCCGTTGTCACTCAAGCCAAGGGGAAGAATCTCCTTTCGGGAGTTCATGAACCATGCCCAAGTCACAGCACTCCCCTGAAACCCGGACCATATGGTCGAAGACACATAAGCCTCCTGCTGGTCTATGGGCGCAACAATCGAAACCAAAGAGTTCGGCGACGACAATCAATCATATTTCATGAAGGTACAATTGGAGTTCTCTCCTTCTTTTTCTCTCTCTTTCTATTCGTGGGAAGATGTCTCAGGACATATGGCACAGGAAGGGGAAAGAAGGTGAGAACAAAGGTTTGCGGGACGAGAGACTGAAAGAAAAAGGGGGCCATGCCGGTTGAGAGTAGAAGATACCCGCTGCACGACATTGACAACATCGATTGAAAAGTCATGTCAATGATGAAGAAGCTGGCGCGACGAGGCTCTTCTCGCGGCAGAAGTCATGCAGACTCCGGACAAGAATGAGCGATGGGGTGCGGGAGGGGGTAACTCAGGCCACGGGTGAAGGTCATGGAGAACGTCCACACTCCACCTTGATCGTTTTCCAGGTGTTCAGTATTGTTTAGGAGCGGAATGATGCATCTCGTTTTCCATCTTGGTCCTGAACCTGCCCAGGGCTCATTAGTCGTCCCACGAGGTTGAATATCCACCAACAAGACGCCTGCATGTCTTGGTCCCGGCAGCTCGCGCAAGGTGCATTTACTGCGAAGAGGATACCCACAAGGTCGACACCCAGCTCATCATTGTCCATAGCAATCCTCGACCTCCATTTTACGCTCACGCGGTTTGATATAGGGTCTTCGACGAATCCAGGGGAGCAGCAACCTTGTCTCTCGAACAATCTCGTTTCTGTTGCTCAGCTCAGCGTTATCGAACCATATCGTTCCCCTTCAATGGAGTTCAACATTCTGACATGTCGCAAAGACAACAGCGTGCCTCATGACGGGGTCGGCGAGGATGTGTTCGCATCATAATACACACAGGGTTCGAAGAGGCGTGGCTTGAGACGTGGGCCAAAGGGGCATCAAAGTGCCTCGACGCCATGCGTTTACTGCCTTGTTACCAATGACAGCAGCAAGTTGACTAATGCCTTAGTGCACGAGCCACTGGATGTTTTTTGAAGAGGAGTTGGGAGGCGCAGGCTGCCCTTGCCGAAGGAAAGGACCTCTCGTCCGACAGGATCATATCAGCCGGCCATCAAGCTCAATCATCCGGAGCAGTCGACGTCGAATGATGCCCCTGGATTGATGACGACGGACGAAGTGTCCAGGCTGATGGCCGAGAAGCTCGTCCGTGTCCGAAGAATTCGGCCAATCTAGTCTGCAGCACTCTGTTTCCCAAAGAAGTCATAACATCAAGCCCCAAATCCGTCTTCACAAAGAGAGTGCCCACTCACCGGCACTTGGTTCCACCAAGGGACAAAAGCCAGGCCCGCTGATTTGGACGGCTCTAGAGCACTTCCTGCCCCTCTTTGATGCAGGTACCCTGATTAGGGCATCGTCAAATGTTCTAGGTTGGAGACAACATCGTTGAATCAAAGCACGCAAGACCACGAGCATCGGCTGATATGTCTGGACTTCGAGCAACGCGCCAGGCGACGAAGTTTATTTGACCGAATCTCGAGTGTGGAGAAACGACGATCGAGTATCCTCATGCAAGTGCAACGGAGCCATCGTCAATGCCGAAAAGATAATGCGGAAAGGGTACGACGTACTGTGTGAGCCATTGCGGACGTGGACGTGATAGAAATAAAGCTTCGGACGAACGACGGGCGGACACGGTCGGCCGTCTTTTGGTCAACTTCCCCAATACTCAAACATTGTCAGCTGATCTGGGTATAAGCTGAGCTGACTTTGCACAATTCTTATCCACAACAAGCTTCAGCCTTGTCTTTGACGTTGTCCATGTTGACTTCTGGCGCAATGAAGGGTCCTTGTGCTATCTTTGCTGACAGATCAGAGCAATGCTCTGGTCTGCAGTTTCATCAGAGAACCCACCTGGTCGCAACGACATGCGCATTGCTCCAATATGGCCGCCTCACCTGCAGCAACAAGATATAAGGATGGAAGAGCATCGTGAAAAGAGAGGGACCAGAGAGTCAACAGAAAGCGATCAAACAAGGGAAGGCAAATGGCAGTGGAGAATAACAGAATGGCCGACGCACACCACACAAAAGTGACAAACTCAGCTTCAGACCCTTCATCGCTCCATGGCAAGACAGCTTTGGTCACCGGCGGTTCCCGAGGGGTTAGTATCTGCCTTCTTGCTAATTGAGACTCAATTGAGTGGAATGGGTGTGTTCTAAATTTTTGGCCATTCTCATATAGATCGGTGCCGGCATCGCGCTTCAGTTTGTCCGCAAAGGCGTCGCTGCCATTGCAATAACATACGCCACCAACCTCAAAGCAGCCGAGGAGACCTTGTCCAAATGCCGCTCCATCTCCCCGAATCTGAAAACAGCCGCTATTCAGGCCGATGTCCTCGATCCATGCGTCGGTCCGAAGCTCATTCCAAAGGTGCTGGAGGGACTGGGGACAGACAGGATCGACATCGTCGTCAACAATGCCGCCCTCGTCAATGACCTCAGTCTGATGCAGCCGTTCGCAGACATAACCGCTGACGTTTTCGGAAAGACAATGCAGGGCAACGTCTTCGGAGCAATGAGCATCATCAACTCGGCGTTGCCGCATTTTTCACCCAAGGGTGGTAGAGTGATCAACATCTCGAGCATTGCCAGTAAAATGGCCAATTCGGATCCGCTCCTGACGTACGGAGCATCCAAAGCCGCACTGGACAGCATCACACGATCGTTAGCGAGTTTCTTGAGCGTCAAGACCGGCGCAACATTCAACAGTGTATCCGTGGGACCAACCAGCACGGATCCGGTAAAGGCTGTGGCCCAGGAATTTGGGGAGGCGTTTGTCGAGGACGCAACCAGGCTGTTCACGGTCGAAAGAAGGTTGGCAGAGCCCGATGACATCGCCTTTGTGGTCGGGTTCCTGGCAAGTGACGAGGCAAGGTGGATCAATGGGTCGCACATTGCAGCAAATGGTGGAAACAAGGAATTACTAGCTTTGCAGGGATAGAAGACCTCAAAGCAAACCGCAAAAGGCAGCCTAAATTTTCCTGATAGCTAGATACAAGAGCTGATTGATCTCAAGGTAGTCTCTTGATCCTCGTCGGTCCCTTGTAGCCAAACGGTGTCATGGCGACCTGCAATTTCTCCGTCTTGAAGTGCTGAATGCTTCGAAATGCTCAGAATCTCCGATGAGAACGCGGCGAGTGTCGTTGAGCATGACAACAGGACGCTCCTGAAATACTCGAGCAGGTACTCATACTGGGCGGTTCTCGTCACGGGGAAACCTTCAGGGTAATGTGCCTGTGTGGTCACTGTGGGTGCCTTGCCATGTCATTTGTTCAGTGCAAGAGAGCGCTTCTTGTGTTGCAGCCACTCAAAGATCGCAGGTCCCTTTTGCTGAGCTTTAAGCCTCAAAGTGTCAGGATTTTGCTGGTCACCCTCAGAACGGGGCATATCCAAGTCTTCTCCACCGCAAGGTAACGACTGCTTGGGGATCTTCGTGGCAGCATGTAGTCCGCGCTTGGGGCAACTTTTACATGGTGGTGTGATTCCGACTTCCGAGGCCTTCGCCCATCGCCTTGCATTTCTGGACGGCAGAACTCCCTTAGACAATAGCATATCACAAAGTGGTGTCTCGGTAGCTCTTTCCCAGGGATTTCGGCCACAGTGGAGCTCGTGCTCTATTGTATCAGTGGTGCACATTCGATCGACCCACTCCTGCAACTCCAGGGCTGAGGCAAGGGTGGAAGCCTCCATGGCAGCCGCTGAATGAATAACAGAAAATCGTGGCCGGGTGGAGGGTCGGTCGTTCAGAAGAACCGCGGTTGTTGGCGTCGCAGGAAAGGGTAGCCTGTACTGGTAGGGAGTATCTGGGATGTTGACAGGATTGAGGGCTGTTGATGTAGTGTATGCTTATAATGATTTCGAAGAACGACGGAAAAAGAATATGTCATATGTAAGAACAGAACCGCATTGAAGAGATGGCAAGTGATGTTGAAACAGTACGATTCTGGCTGGGCCAAAGATGAGGATTTTGAGAAGAAAGGATTGAGAAGTGTTTGCTCCAGGCGGAAGGCCCATTCTGCAGCAGATTGAAGTCCAAGGAGTAGGAAGATGGGGAGAAAGAGCTATTGAGCCCATGAAACAAAAAGCGCAGTCGAAGATGAGAATCTCTTGATCAACCCGAGTGGCAACCGAACAGCATCGTCTCTGTCCGTACACCTTTCCAACCTGACATCCTCCCTGTTTGTGAAGCAGGACAGCATAGAGTACAAAATCCTGAAGTATACATACCTTGAATGGAAACCGACAGATCTATAGTCGCCCCAATTTCCATCTAGCAATGCGCGACTGTACATCCTCCCATGGTATTTGCTTGACTTTTTTCCCACTCAAGTCTTCCCCCTCTTGGATTACCACAGTCGGTGCGCCAGTTCCGTGGCCATCGTTGTCCACCTTTCCAGTGAATATTTGTGTAGCCACTCGTCTCAAATCGGCAACTGTGAGGGCATCGATTTTTTCGCACATTTCCTTGACGCCGACCTTTCGTCCATGAACTTGAACTTGTCGGCCAAGGTCCTCCAATTCAACCAGCCTTGACTCGAGGTTCATCAGGAGGCTAAATCGCAGTTGGTTTTTCGCGCGATTGACTTCAGCAATGTTCAAACTGGAGAAGCCGGATTCTAATGTCAGAGCTTGTAGTTCGCGGCAAATCACGTCCACCATATGACCGACTCGACCTGGCTCACATGCCCCAGCGATGCCGAAGAGACCACTGTCGGTATAACTGTGGTTGAATGCCACACAGCTCTCAACCCATCCGTGCTGGTTGAGGACATTTGTGTAGAGTCGAGAATACATTCCTTTACCAGGACCGCCAGCCGAGAATGAACCCCCGCCGCCCAGCAGAGTCTGAAGCGTGGCCTGAGCATAAATGTCTTCTGAAGAAATGGGGAGACCCTCAAAAGCAACATGCACGTACGAGAGGGGGATTGTGAATTTATTTGGTGGTGGAGGAAGCGTTGGGAGTGCCAGGTACCCTCCGGTATAATGAGATGGCATTGTGAGAAGGGATTCTGGAGGAGGTTGAATTAGAGAAGGATCGAGAGGCGATACAGTTGCTTGATGAGGTGCAGACGTGGAGAAGCTATTGAAACCAGGAATCTTAGATAAAAGCCTGCTTGCAGAAGATTGAGGTGGAATTTGCTGTGTATTTGGTTGCGGTGAACTCGGTTCGGTAGATTGCGACGTAACTTGTGATGGCGATGGTTGTTCAGATTTTGGCATATCTCCAAAGTATTTTTCCGTCAAACGAACGGCTTCTTCGTGCGGGATGCCGGCGAAAGCGACCACTATCCGCTCTGGCTTGTAAAAGACGCTCCGGTATTTTTCAATCAATCCCTTCGTGATATAAGGCAATCTCTCTCGAGGGCATAGAAGAGGATGGCCCAAGGTGTTATCCTTGTAGGCGGCCATGTGCAATAGTTCGGGAATGATTAGATCTGGCTTGGCCCATATTTCTTGGATCTCATATTCGGCCGTTTCCAGTTGTTGTGCCACCTCTTCATCTGTGATTAAAGGATCTCGAATCGTTTCCGCGAGCAGGGCGATGGTGTCGGGGACGCTGGCGTTAAACGTGGCGGACTGGTACATCAGAGCCTCTCTCGACGACGCACACTGAATGTTTCCTCCCAGCGATTCCAACGCCTCAAACATCTGATCTGCAGTCCTTGCTTTTGTTGATTTGAAGGCTAACCGATCCACAATATGACTGACGCCTCGAAGAGAGTCGTCCTCATATCGCGACCCAGCATCGAGGTAGACCCCGACGCCTGAGAAAGGGCCCGGTAGTGATTCTGTTGCGACTCGAACACCATTTGGCAACTGGGTAATATGGTCTAGTTCAACAGGATCCTGAGAAAACACGGTGGTCAGACAAATATCACTTGCTTATCAAGGCGCGGAAGTGCAGACGTACTTTGTGCAGAGGATCTCTGATGGTCGCATAGTTTCTCCCCAGAGGCCTTGGGGTCTTGGTAGATAGCCTCGCATTGCGCAGTGCCCTGACTGCTGCAGTGCGCATGCTGGTGATAATGGAGGATACGGAAGAGATAAAAAGGACGGGAGGAAGTCGCCGCAATCGAGGTCCAAGCGATCAAGAAAATGATGTCCGCAGGCAAATTGAGCAAGATGTTTGAGCCACCGGCTGTGGAGGCTTTTGTGGGGATGAGGATGCAGTGATACGATAGGCTAGACGTGGTGGCCTCCTCTGTTGTAGGGCTGTCACTCTGTCTGACAATAGCCTGAGTGCACACGGTAAACAGATGGATGGATAGACAGAGCGACTAACTGGATGAGATAGAGATCGAGAGGCGGTCACAGGCGTTGTGGTTCGTCTGACCTGCGGCTGACCAGTTGGTGCCTGTAGCCGACTTTGATATGCTCGATGACATCGATGGCCGCCCGCTGTGATCAAGTGGACTGCGTCCCCTTGTGCTCGGTAGAGAAAGGAGTTGGTCGTTTACTATTCTTCCTAATCCCCTGGGCACTTGGTTTCCTGGTATCCTGTCCATTCCCCTCTTAACAGGTCTCGAATATCCCCCCGAGTTCATGTCCTTGTCCGTGTATTTGATGTCCCACGTTCTCTTTGCTCCCTGACTTTTAGGCGCCTCTCCGCCAATTGAAGTTGCCCTGGATTGGGGCCCTGCGCAACCACACAAGCCACTCCCCTAAAACTTCTTGGTACCAACAACATCCCTGCCGTGTCCTTTCCCACTCACTGAGGCCCTGCCTGTCGAATTGCGGGCACATCCTACATCATCTTATCCACCATCTTATTTACAAAAGTTACCAGACCCGGACCCTTTTGCTCTGCCTGCGCGATTGAGTCCGAGCCTGCGCCTTATCGGAGGCGCATCTTACACCAAGCCGGATGAGTCTGCGAGATTGTTCGATACGAAAGAGCGACATTCTGGGTTCGGTTGTTGTCGTTGCCATTGTTGCTTACTACCGCCGTTGCCGCCTGTTCCTGTAGTGCGGTGTTCCTGCCCACAATCACCTACAATACCACGCCCTGTCCTGGGACTCAGACTCAATCCGTGCACGCCTCCTTCACGTCCTTTCCCATGATCTCACCGTCTGCCGCTGTCACGTCCCCAGCGGCCGCCGAACCCAGTGTCAACAGGACCACATCTGCAAGGCGCCGAGGTTTGAGTTACCTCCGTGCTCTATCGCACAATCGTTCATCGGGTGGAACGAGCCCGAACGAACCCTCCCGTTCGCCCAGACACTATTTCCAGAGATCACTCAGTTACAACGAGAATCGACCAGACCCGGTAACAAGTCGACGACGGAGCACATCTCGTCCAAACGAACCTACAGCCTTCCTCTCCTCGGACCCGCGTCAAGTCGGGACGAGGACACCTTCACCCCGCGTGGAGCAGGAACCAACCGCAGATCAAGTGGAAAACACGAGTGCAGAGGATATGGCGAGACATCGGTCATCCACATTGAGAAGGACTGTAAGCAACAACAATCCTCAGGCTAGTGCCTCAGTGGCAGCAGAGGCATCAGATTCTGCCCCGAGACCGGCACATGCAAGAACCAACAAGACTACTTCGGGTACAAAAGGAGAGACACAGGAAGGGGAAACGAAGCAACCGTTACCTACGATTCGTTTCTTTCCCCACCAGGAAATTAGGAATGGAAGACCGTCTCTCAACTTCTCCCCGATCACGCGAACCTTGCCCAGCGAGCATTCTATCATAAGAGTCGGTCGGTATTCTGAGCGTGAGGGTGTGCCATCGGCCAATCCCATTGGTCCCTCTGATGCTCCTGTCGGCTTCAAGTCCAAGGTCGTCAGTCGAAAACACTGCGAGTTCAGCTTTCTCGATGGCCAATGGCAGATCAAAGATGTCGCATCCTCCTCTGGCACTTTCTTGAACCATATCAGATTAAGTCAACCCAACACCGAGTCGAGACTATTCCCAATTAAAGATGGTGATATCGTCCAACTGGGTATTGACTTCCGCGGCGGAGAGGAAATGATCTTTCGTTGTGTCAAGATCCGGATTGAATGCAACCGGGCCTGGCAAAAGAAACCAAACAATTTCAAGTAAGCCACCTTCTAAGGTCTCGATGTCAGAGACTGACAATGTGTCACAGCAAAAGCAGGCATCAACAACTGCAGAGTCTTGCAAAGGACCAACCCTCTGCCGATACTAACAGTGGTGAATGTTCAATTTGTCTCGGTTCTGTTTTGGTAAGATCCTACGGACCCAACAAATCCCCATCGCTAACCCGCCTTCCCAGCCCTGTCAAGCGTTGTTTGTCGCCCCGTGCGCACATGTCTGGCACTACAAATGTATTCGACCTCTACTCGAAGGCAAAAACAGTGTTTATCCGCAATTCCAATGTCCAAATTGCAGGGCTTATTCAGATCTAACTGCCGATGTCGACCTCGCTCAGTCCGACATAGACGAATGGCTGGAGAATACTGATGATCCTGAGAATCAAACCGCCGAGGCCAGTGCCGATGCTACAATTGAAGGAAATCATGCTTCCGATGCACACATCAATGGTCAAGTGACAGGCGGGCCAGACTCCGTCAACGCGGCCGTGCCAACTACGACCTTGAATGGAGATGAGCCTCAAATAAATATAATCCCTGAAAATCCTCCCGTCACTATATCTCAATCCGAACCCATTAACGAAAATCCTTCTCCGGCGACTCCGAACACCTCAGGACTCCTGGCCCGGAGGCAAGCTACCAATCCACGTTCATCCGAGCTTTCAATGAGCGGTAATATCGATATGCCTGATCAACCGGTCGAGGACGAGATGCAGGCTGAGCTCGAACAGCAACGTACCAGCACGCAAACCCCGGACCCCGACCAAGTGGTTGTCGTGGAGGGGCCGTTAACCCCCAGGAATAATGCCGGCCCCTTTGTCTTTGACGGTAGTGCTGGCAGGTCCGATGCGAGACAGTTGGTGGTACCAGGGATGGCGGATGTTGCTGATGGAAACCGATCGTCATGAATGTGTTAGAGGTCAACTCTGATAGACCTTTTGAAGATCCTGACAAGGGCGGGCTGTAGAACGAAGCATGGAGGAGACAGTGTCGGATCCGATACTCCCGTGACCCAGGGATAGAAAATGAAGGCAGGGTCACGACGACACAGACTTGAATCGTGGGACCAAAAGAAGAAGCAGATCCCGCATGCAAGGTCAGGATCAGTGTTTCCCAAAATCCGGTGTTAGCGATATTCTTTGATTGAGCGGGTTATCTATAGCATCCCTGATTGAAGTATACTTAGTGTTTGTCCTGTGTTGTTCCATCCCCAGCCGATGCTGCAAGTACGACATGGAGTAATTTTGTAATTTTGTACTCGATATTCCTTCTATTTCGAGTGTCTGGGGAGTCCATCGTGAAGAGTGTGGAGGCGTGGAAGTGTAATCGGTTGGCTCAAGTCGGCGTCATGAAAAGTAGAAATGCTCAGGAATTGCATCGAAGTCCAGAACATTGTTGACAGCGCCGAAACCTTTAAAAAAACCGGCAGCTATAGTCCTAACTAGGTAGGTGACACATATTGTCGAGGCTGCATTATTTTCAGATATATATACCCCTCTCATAGTGACATGAGTCTGCCTGGCTTCGCCCTGGATCACCGTAGCTCTACTTTTGAAGCGTGGTATTGTTACCACAGTAGAACTCGCTTGAACAATCCGCATTTCGCTGGTCTGGCTGACTCTCACTCTGCTATAAATACTCTAGTACAACTGCGATCTAATGCCCTCAAGCCTGAACTTGACGTCCCTCAACACTTTGGTTTTGGGTTCCCACTCGTCAAATTGCTCGAGTAATTGTCTTGCCTCGTCTCTGAGGTCCTTCTTCACAATGTCTTCCTCTAAAATCCCACGCATAGCAAAGGGGAGGATGTAGGGATTGGTGTTCGCGCTGCTGCTGCTGCTGCTTCCACCTCCACCGCTCCCACTACCTGTCAAGAGCGCCTGTCGCTTCGAGCTGGATATCGGCACGTCTTTGATGGAGGTAGTCTCGAGAGCAAATGCAATAGCAAGACGGTACACGGCATCGTCTTCGTACAGTCTGGAATGGCCTTCTCCGGTGTACAGCGAACCTGCCAGAGGCGTGGACAGCTCTCTGATCAATCCATGATCTGGCACACCCACATTTCTCAGCTTCAACACGAACCCCACAAGGTTACTCAGGAAGTTGGGAGCGTGTATCCTCGAGTCAATGGATACCGCGCGATAGATATGTGGATGCGTCAGTGGTGCAAATATCGACGACTCCATCGATACCAATTGATCGTCAATGCTCCCCACGAAGGTGACTTTCACCCCAAACTTCAAGCACTCAGCGATGGCGGCCATATAGTCTTGGGAGACTTTGGAGTTCGGGTCCGTGAATTCGAACAACTCCCCCGCGGATCCAGTTATCCAAGGAGATTTGTAGTCCTGGAACGGGCCCATATTCACACCTGCCATGGCGCAGACACCAATGCGGGCAGTCGGTGAGAGACAGCCAAAATGGATCAATTTGGCCACTAGCATAATTGCGACAGGGACGCCTTGGGAATGAGCTGCGATCATGACGAACTCAGATCTTCGGATTTCATCGATCCAGTTCAGGAGCAGCTTCCACAACAACTCGACACGTTCGGCAATTCGTCCTTCACCTTCTAGGGCCGCTGTCTTGACTTCACATTCATATCCTTGTGATTTAGTATATCTGCGAATGTTTTGCGCCGCCTTTTCGGCGAATTTTATGCTTGTCCCGGTGGGTTGCCCTAGAAGCGATCGGACCATGGGACCAGGGAAATAGCCGTGAACGCCAATTGCTAATGCATTGTTGATTCGAGGCGGCTCTTTCAACAGAGAGAGGTGTCTCGGTTGACCAGACTCCTTGGTGTAGTACAGAAGGCGCGCAAGTTGCTGGAGGATTGAAGGTTGTTCTTCGAAGGTGAGCGTGTCACTGAGACGAGGAAGCAGCAGATTTGAATCCTCCTGGTCTTTCTTCGACGGCACCGGTGACGCCGAACGAGGTGTTGGAGCTTTGGCGGGTTCTCGCGCAATGGCTGTAGCATTGGTTGACTTGGCTTTGGTAGTCAAAGGTTCCTGTTTCGAGGCAACAGCCTTCTTTTGAGGCGTCGAAATGCGTTTGTCCTCTGTCGCTGGCTGTTGCTTGGTTTCAGCCGTCTTCTTTCCTCCAGTCTTCTTCGATTGCTCTCCTTGTGCTGGAGGAGGTACAACGGGTCTTGCACTGTCATCTTGTAGACTGATGGAGGCACGCTTAGGCCGAGCTTGAGACGGTGTGTTTGATATTGCAATTTCCCCAATGTGAGGCTCATTCTCTAATTTTGTAGATGCAGTAGACGCAGGACGCTTCTTTTCTCGAGACCAAAATACCCACCCCGACGACTTGGACCCGTCGCCTGAAAGTTGTGGCGGTGGAGAAGTCTCAAGGGATGAAGCCTGAGAACCCTCCTTTGCCTTGGGCGTCTGGGGTGGCGGAATGTCGAGGTTTTCTGTCTTCGCCTTGGCCGTCCCTGTATTCTCAACTGTTTCAGGCTGAGGTGGCTCTGTTGGAGGGTTTGGTAGCTTTGCTGATCCACCACTAGGTTGATCACCGTTGCTCCACATTTGATACCAGCTTCGTTTGTTATTGGTGTTCGTAGGAGATTTCGAGTCCTCTTGTACCTCTGGCGGGGGTTGTATAGGCTCTGGGGCTGTGTCGGTTGCAGGATGAATGGTAGAATCTTCCGTAGGTTTGGGTGGTGGTTGTGCTGCAGCAGGTTTCGCTGTACTGCCATCCCTTCTGCCTAACCAGCCCAGCCATGTGCTTTGTGCCTCTTGTGCCTGTTGTGGTGGAACAGCGGGTTGTGAAGTCTTCGATGTAGCCTCCGCAACTTCCTCTTGCTGGACTGGCCTGGCATCCATCTTTTCGGGTCTTTGTTGTTCATCTTTTACAGGCCTGGAAGCATTTTCGGCGTCCTTGGTCTTAGTGGGCAATTCCGGCTGTGAGTCCTTCTTACCTAAAGAGCTGGCAGCCTCGGGGGAGGCATAGACGAGAGTCGTAGTGGCATTTATCGGAAGGGAACGGTTCGATGTTGATTTGCCTAGTGTCATTGCTAACGACGGCGACCCCTGAGACTTTATCTTCTCCTTTTGTGGCGGTGGCACCTCCGTGGCTGTGGTCGTAGCGGAAGATGGCGCGGCAGTCGAGGACGTTGAGGCGGACGAGACACTCTCACGATGTGTCTGTGTTAGAGGAGGAGCCTTGCGAGGCCATGTTCGAGCGAGCCATGACTGGTCAGTCTATCAGCAATTTGGCCATCAAGTCAACAAAGAAGCCTGATTACCGATCTTTGTTCTTGTTTTGGTGTCGCAGGGCTTGAGGCGGTAGGGGTGTCTGCGGGAAGGGGCACGTTGGCAGCCTGCTGAGCCTGTTCTTGAGGCGATGACTCTGAGCGCGATTCCTGTGTCGGATTGGTCTTTTGCCGCTTCAATGGCCTCGCGGGGGCCATTGCAGGTTATTGTAATGGTGACTACGACATCAAAATTAAGTGAGGAGGGGACAAAGATGCGAGAGCGGTGGGTTGCAGATCGGATGTGTTATATCTACAGGTAAGTGGAAAGGCTGATGTTGGAGATACCGATGAGGCTGCGCTACGTCACATGCTGGGCATCCCCGGCCCCCAGTTCGACCAACCAGTCGCTGTGCCTCGTGCACTGTTTCGTGGAGGACTAGAGCACAACACAGATTGATGCCATTCAGTTGGGAGTATTTGACACGAGGACGGCACATGAAACCATGTTATTGGTGGTGCGTAAGAAAGCAGAACAACAGCCACGCCCAAGAGTCCAGACTCCCTGGGAACTCGACTCTCCGTTTAAGCAACACCATACAATACATGCAGTCTGCTGTGTGCTCACTATGATCCCCTCAAACGCTCTCGCTTACCCCGGATAAGTTCTCGGGAACTCATCAAGAGTCACCTTGATCTCAAGGGCCTCTCCATCTTCCTGCGGCTATGACTGAAATATCGAGCAGTCACGAGTCATAGACAAGGTCTGCAATGGCCAGTATGCAAGATGGTCTTGACCTCCGACTTCTTCATCGAAAATAAAATCATTTTCTGACCGAAACATTCACATCGAGAATAACAGGGGGTCCGAAAACTTGCAGGGATCAATATGTACATAAAAATCCTCATGCGCAATGTTGTGTTCGGGGGTGTTCCAAGTCAAAATGAGAGATAAACAATCGTCATTCCGCATCAAATGTCAGTTAGGCTGGCAGGCTGGTTCCCCGCGCGGTGACCCTCCGCCCTCTTTGCGGCCTTTGAAAAATTATTGTGGAGCAGCAACGTAACACACTGCAGGACGAACGCACTACAACCCAGTATTCTCGCATTTTCACATAACCATCCAGAGAAGACGACTGAAACAGCATTTGCCAAAGAGTTGCATGTGACCATGGCCAAAACTTCAAAGATCAAGAAAGATCCAACAGGTGATTTTCCCTCGACTCCCCTCTTCCTTCCCGGCACACAAATCTCAAAACTTCGCACATTCTCACACAAAAGGTTCACAGCGAATCCGCGATCCCGGGCCTCAAAGCGAGCCACGTCCCCGTCCATCGACGTTGACAAATCCATCAGAGACGCCCCGCGCGCCTCGGACGCCACGCCAATCCTGGCCGCTCGTCCCAACGGCGGGATCACCAAGCCGAAGCGGAAACAGAAGCCTCTTTCCCGCGGGCAACGGCGCAGACATGAAAAAGGGTTGGCCAGGGCAGAGATGGTGCAAGATCAGCATGCGAGAAAGATCGAAGATGCTTCACATCGCCTGAAGAAGAGGCGCGAGAGGAAGGGCATGTGGGAGGAGGTTAACGGGACAAACAAATTCGACAAGTTAAGAGCAGCCCTTGGTGATGACGACGCAAATGAGAATGACGAGGATGAATGGGTAGATGACAACATGGAAGAGGTCGAGAACGAGGGTGGTAATGTTGAGATTCTTGAAAAGTCGACGACAATTTCCAAGGCGAAGCTAGTAGTGGTAGACCGGACGGCATCATCTGTCACAGCGGCCACCGCACCCAACACGACGACGGAGGAGGAGGACGAAGCGGACAAGATAACATAACGCTGCAAAACTCCCTATCGAAGACAACGACCGGCTACTGTATCCTTATTTCTTGGGACGCAGATGTGTGAGCATCCTTTCGATCTCGACCAATTGTTGGCCATTGGCCTTATCCCGCAGCAGCTCCAGCGAGTTCACATCCTTGGCTTTGAGGGCTTCCTCACCAGCTTTCACGATCATGCCACATTTGACCCACATCTCAATCCGCTCCGCAGGTTGGAGATTGGTGCATTTTGGAATGAATGATGAGGCAAGGCGAGTATTACCTGCTCCAAGGACTTCGTTGTAGAAGGGCTAACGCAGGATTAGGTCAGTGGCCAACAACTCTATCGGGATAAGGATCAACCTACCTCCCATCCGATCGGTGACTTCTTGCTCTTAGCAATTTCCTCGACCTCACCCCAGAGACGGGCTGTGGTCAATGCCCGGAGTCGAATCCACCACCATGTCTTCTCTGGCACCCGAAAGTCGCCCTGAACTTTGGCCGCCCGCTTGCTGTATCCAGATTGGATCAGGCGGAACATGGTCTCATTGATGCTTAACCCCACATAGCTTCCGCTGCCGTCAGTGATGTCCTTGTCGAACGCCTCCTGCATCTTGAGTAGCTGTCCAGCCTCTGTCAGCGATTTAGCGTGGAATTGGGCTGTCGGATCCTTTGCATCAGTGAGCAGTCTGCCTGCTAATTTGAGCTTGTCGATGACTGCCTGAACCTGCGTTTGTTGCATGGCTTCTTCCAGCAACAAATTCGAGCCCTCAATGGGTCGATCATCCTGATAGTATAAGTCTTTGAGCAGTTCTCTGTCGCCCACTCTTGCTGAACTCTCAACAAGTGCTGATGCCACGGGCTTATCGCTGATGGTGCGAAGGAAAGTTGCCAGTGGCAGTTTCTTTTTCAATTCCAGTAACACGAAGAATACCAAGTCGGTGTCTCCAGACTCGATAGCTTTATCAAGGGCGATCTCATCCTCCTCCATATTGAGTAGTAGAGGAACTTGTTTGCCCGCTCTCGGTTCATGATTCAACAATGTCGTTGCGAGATGGCTTCGCCCTTCGTCGTAGGCTGCACGCGCAATGGCTTCGAAAGAGATCCCGTGTTTGCCGCGTAATCGGTCCACCACAATCTCTCGAACTGTGTCGTCGTCTGCAGGCGACCCTCGAACTTTTTGGCTGGCCCAATGGACGTAGATTTTGTTCGCAGGAAGATGCAGAAATTCTGACAGCTTGATTGCAAGAAGGTATTCTCGTCGATTGACCAGCCTTGCTATCAGCCGTTCCGGTGTCAGCCTGACATACTGTTCATAGGTCATGTAGAGGCCTATGCGGTAGTCCCGAACGGCATTCAACACTCTCAGATCCTCACACATGTCGACAAACTCATCACTGCTGTACAGGTCGAGTACTGACTTGCCGAAGGAGGCGGCGCGGAGCAGTTGTTTCTGGAGGGTTTGGTTGAACTCGTGACCAGCCGCTCGAATACAGGTTTCTACTGCATCTGGCAGATTGGGTTTGATTCGTTGGATGTTCTCATCTGCTTTTGGTGATTTCTTCTCTAGCAGCTCGATTGAATCCAGAAGGACCGAGGCAGCCGATGTTGAACCAAGCTTGAAGACTTCTTCTAGTGGATCGGGCACCTTGTGTAAGAATTCGCACACCTCGTTCGTGATCAACCGGATACCATCGATATCGGGGACGACATGAACCTGGTCATCATAATAGTATTTGACCGCGGCACCATTGGGACCGACCATATGGATCTCATCTTCCCAAGCTAGAATGACAGAGTCGTTTCCACACCAGTATATCTGCCTCGGTGTAGTCTTCGCCTTTGAGTCGTATTCGCTGTATTTGTTTTGGAAGTCACTGCCGACAACCCACACTTTGCCATCCTCAGTGAACAATGCTGCAAATCGCCCGTTAGGTGAAACGCTGACGTGCTTGAACGGACCATCGGATAGTCCTCGATCTTCGGCTTCGGTGACATCCACAACATAAATTGTCTTGTCTATTGCGAGTAGTACCTCGACGGACCTAGAAAGTGTGTATGCTGGTGGAATGAGGGACCAGGAGTGGACCTCCCCTTCCGGTGCTTGAGCAAGCAACCTCGGTCTGGGCTCTTCAAACGACGAAACTGCCACCAACGAATTATTGGAAAGTAAAGCGACGAAACCATGCGACCAAAACCGGCACGAGACGACGCCGAACTCCTCTGCACCGTGTCCAAGCGAGAAAGGTTGAAAGTCGCCATGGAGCCCGAAGTAGCAGTGGACAGTGCCGTCTTCCGTTACGACCAGGAGCTTCTCATCGTCCGACCAGCCAAGGCCTTTGATCACACCTTTCTCCCAGTTGATGTTGCTGATGAGCTTTCCAGACGAGGAATAGATGTCAATGGTGGGTTTGATCGATTGACCAGTTCGATACCGTGCAATTTTGGTGGTGTCTCGCCATAATGCTACTACAGTCAGCTCAGGAAGGTTGAAGATGAGTAGGAATCGTTACCCAGCGCGCCGCCATACGGTGCACCTGCAACAAGGTAGTTCTCAAGTTCGAGATCCTGATCAAATACGGACTCGTACAGGGGGACCTTTCGGTAGAACTGGTCGCCAACTATCTCCCAGCCAGCTCTGGGATTGTTGGTTGTCATGAGGTCAGGAAGTCCATGAGAGTGCTCGAGTGCTAAGCGATGTGATGGGTGATGGATTCGATGAGAGACTCGGAAGGAGATGGACTGCATCTGGTCCGTTGTCCATTGTCGGCCAATGATGTGACGCCTTGGCTCGGCTAAGCTTCCATGTTCTGTGACGAACCCCGTACATCAACCGGCGCCTCTTACCTCCGTGCCTCCCCTTACGTCGTCTGTAGTCTTCCCCATGTTCAGGAGCTGTCACTTCAAGGATTGCCTCAAGAAGCTGGTATGGAAATGACCCCGCAAGCTGAAACTCTGTGAACCCCAACAAATATGGATTCGGCACAAGCGTTACTGGACCACGTCGACGATCTTACGGATCTTGAGCTGGCCGTCCTCGTCAGCCTCGTCGCCCAGCATCATTGCTTGGTAGTGGCCAGCGATGATTTACTCGATGACCTGGCATCCGAGCTTGCACTGGTTGGTCTCGTCACAAAATACCTATTCCCGACTAATGTTGGTTTAGATTGTCAGAGACATGTTCAGTCTCTCGTACATCATACTAGATCGCGACGACCTACAGTCTATCAAGACATTCGGCGCTGCTATTCTGGATGATGATAACAATGAGTGCGATGATATTCCTCATGGGTCGGATATTGATGTGGAGAGTGTTTGTACTGACCTCCAAAATGTCTTGCCACTTATCTGACGTTTGTTTAGTCGGGCATGCTCCATTCAAAGGTTTCATCTGTAAATTTTGGCGGAGGTTCTTCGCATTTTGTGGATACCCAGAAATTGGACACAAGGAGAGTGGTCAACGTTATCATCGCGAAGAACTTCAACCTCGCACATCAAGACGTGCAGATCCAGGCTCTCGAGGTACTCCAATCTCATCAATTGCACTTTTCATGCTGACCAAGTTGTAGCTTATTAGGAAGCGGAGAATATACAGCCGAACAACCGTACATCTTGCACCCGCGGTATTCCTGCTGCTTCCGCTTGTTTCTACCTCCTCTAAACATATCCGATTGAACAAACACCTTGTAAGGAAAGCCCATTCGCCCTGTACTCAAAGCTCATTCTCCCAGAACGACCGCATATTCATGTCTCACTCTCACTCCTCAGAAGATGGATTTCCCAACCTAGAGGAGTTAGATGACGCGACAAATTCCGGAGACCATGACTCGACTTATTCCTACTCCCGTTCTCCAAGTGTGAGACGGCAGCAAATGATTGCGAGCCGCCGGATCGACGCAAAGGTAGGATATATCGCTCGATCCACAACACAAGTAGCTAAAGGTAGTCTCCAGTTGATCGAGCAACTTCGAGCCCATGGTCAGACAGCAACAATCACCCCGGAGATTCGAAGGTATCTTCAGGATATTGTAGCGTTCCTTCGGATGGAGAGAGGCGTCGACGGAGGCGTATCGCCGTATGCAACGACGCTTTTCCTTGCCCTAGCAAAGTGAGTTCCAAACTAAGCAGCATTCTTATCTTTCTGATCTAGCTCTTAGATATCTGGCCCCATTGCACGGAATTGACTATGTCACTCCGTCCTTGGTCGCGTTGGCGGCAAAGAAGATATACCCGCATCGAATTATCATGGCCACCCCGGCTCGCGAACGAAGCACTCAGTATGGAACTGATCTTGCATCCGCACGATATCTCTTGGACGATTTGAACCCAGATAAAGTGATCCAGAATGTCCTTGATGCAGTTGAATGCCCAACATGAAAATCGACATAGGTTCAACAGAGTCTTCATCGGCACCAGTCCTCTCTCAAATATCCTTGCCGCCTATAGAAATATGACACAAGCAAGGATGGGGACAGGAGCCACCACCACTGCCACCGCCACCCCAGTCAAGGCAGTAATGGACAACCAGAGACAGGAGTCTCCCGGCGGTGAACAGATTCCGGAGATATCGATCCCAGACCCTCCACTATCATGTTTGGAGTCGATACTTCCGCTGGTTTACGTGTTCTGGACAATGACATATCCTCGTGGCGAGGAATTGTCCTGATCAAGTACGAGGGCTTGATTACACCTTCCCACCGAAGGCAACTAAAGGAAGCGACAAGATCACGAAGTCTGAATTGCGGCATGGTCTGTTCCTCATGAGCACAATGCATCGGCAGTCAGGGACGATGGGTCCGGTTTCCTGTGTATTTCGCTCTATACGCGTATGTGCCCCTTCATGCTATCTTTGCTTCTCTCGGGTACGTAGCACATGCTCTACCTTTTAGGTGCGTTGCCTATGTACAGGCTCGTGAACTCTTTGCTGACGCCTGGCCATCTAAGATACCATAGAAACCTAGGGATCCACCGCCAGAGCATCCACTATGTAGGAGAATCAAAAGGTCGTCATGCTCTTCAGTCTGTGTTCGAAGGCTCGTTTCGTCACCGTTGCGTTTGGCGCAAATAGTTCAAATGCGTGCGGCACACCTGGATACAAATGGAATTCGACCTCGATATCCTCCAACGCGAGCCTCTTCGCGTACTCAATGTCCTCGTCGCGGAAGATATCCAGACCACCTACGTCGATGTAGGTAGGTGGCAAGCCTGCCACGGACTTCGCGCGAGCAGGGGCGCAGTAATGTGGCACGTCGGCATCGTGTTTGCCTGCTTTGTCTCCGAGCAGCGCGGTCCAGCCCGTAATGTTGTCCTCGTTTCTCCAGAAGGCAAAGGGCGCGATGCGCTCGTTTTCGGTGAGATTGCGGTCGTCGAGCATGGGGTAGATGAGAATTTGCTTCGCGAGGGGTGGGGAGAGGCCCTTGTCGCGGGCCATGAGCGCCACTCCTGCGGCGAGGCCTCCACCAGCAGATTCGCCAAAGACGGCGAGGCGGGCAGGGTCGACGTTGAAGGATGCGGCGTTTTGCGAGACCCAGACTAGACCGGCGTAGCAGTCCTCGACCAAGCTCGTGCCCTGCGTCTCCGGGGCCAGGCGGTACTCGACGCTGAAGATCGGGACGCCTGTCTGAGTGACTTGCCATGCGTTTGACGGTGCCGACATGGCCACCGAGCCCAGAATCATGCCGCCGCCGTGGAAGTGTACGATGGCTGGACCTGGCGTCCCTGCAGATGTTCCTTTCTTGATGAAGCTAGTCACCGACAAAGCCACACCGGCTGGGGTGGTAAAGCTGTGTTCCTTCTGCTCCACGTCTGGAGACTCGGGCAAGGCACCTCTGAACAGAACGAGGGCAGCCTCGAAACCCTTACGGCGGGCTTCGACATCGTGGACGGCTGGTTTGGGCCGGGCGGCCAGCATGGGGATGATCGGCTCAAAGAACTTGAAAAACTCGGCGTCGTACTTGAGAGACATGTTTGTAGTGTATTATTCCGTCTTGTGTCTTGATTGATCTGGGCTCAATGTGGCTATTCTGTAGTTAGTGCTCACTGGTTTAATCTCTCCCACTCTCACTCGTCTCTCGTCGGTTATTGCCAGAGGGAAAAAAGCCTTGTGTCGTGGAAAAAGGGTCTCTTGACGAACGAGGATCCTTGCTCGAACCCAACACGATCTCTGGAAGATTTAACGGGGATCGGGAACTTTAGAAAGACCCAGAGGGCAACGGCAACCTTGGTACCGAGTCCAGTGGACCTCGTTGCCTCGGCCTCTGGAATCCTTTGGTGTGTTAGCGCGCTCTCGACGTCTTCTTCTTTTGGACGCCATCATTGGACGAGACAATCGCATTGAGGGTGTGTCCGGGTTTCAAGGCGGGACACTATGCACCCCTTCGCGAACGACTTGTAGTAAATATCGTCGAATTAGGCACGAATGTGCCGCGTTGTGCACAAATGTGCCTCGTTGTGCACAAAAGTGAACGAAGCCATCTTTGTCCCGCTTCCCGAATCCTCCCCCGAGAGCATTGGTTCAATCGACTCCGTTCTTCCCGGTCTTACAAATTCCCTGCCATCTTCGTCCACGATACGAGTCAGACGTGAATGTCGTGTCGAAGTAGTACGCGATGCGGGGCACGTAGCGGGGAATGCGTATGTGCGTATGTTCTGCCGGAATGGAATACGAGGTACGCATGTTGAATAAGAAGATGTGCTGAATGAGGACCTTTTCTCACCCCTGAAGGATCAGCCGCGTTGTTTTTGGGGCGTAGTGTGAGGATTTCAAGTACGATGGTTTGACTGCTGTCAATCTATCTGTGTTGACTCTTCGGTGTTGGGACGCATTGACGATGGAGGGCGGCCGTAGTCACTCCTTGGACTTCTGTCCACAATACAGCAGATTGAAAGACACAGGAGGCGCTTTTGAGAATAGAGCAGCTAACCAAAGTATGTGACGCACCATTTCAGTGATTGTCTTTCTGAAGCTTTGGAAAAGGATTGACGACTTGGGCTTGAGCCTCCGCAGCCTTGCCGCCTCGCCATTTATGCTTCACCGTAGTCAATCTCAGCCTCGTCAATCTCGCCGCCGCCCCTCCCCTCCCAATGCCGAAGCGACACAACGTCTGCTTGCAGCGACGGAGTCCCATCCTCACTCTGTCAATGATGTGTCTTGTCCTGTATCATGTATTTTCGTCAATGGACAGCCATTCTCAGCCTCCCGGCCTGGCTGCAAGCTTCCTGCGTCAGTGCTGCATTTGGCGGTGACAGTGACCACCCATACGACAGCGACGTCCTCAAGCAGCAGGAAACCCTCTTCGGGCTGTGTCCGGACTACACTAGCTATGCCCGTCATATACAGTGAGCCAACCTGGGTCTCATCTCGTAGACTGAGTTGCTGATCTTGTGCGCAGCAAACCCTTCAGTAATGGACCTCTCCAACTACCGTTCCAACGACCTCACCCGAGCTGTCGCAAATTCTCTTCCCCGGCCGTGGAGCAAGTGATCGATGATCTCTACCCTCGATTCAAAGATCCGGATCTGGCGCAGATCTTTCAGAATGCGTTTCCAAACACCCTTGACACGACGGTGCTGTGGCACGTAGATGGAGAAAAGAAACATGCGCCACCGTCGCGATTGCTGCGGGACAAGGACAGATGGAAAGGGGCACATTCGTTCATCGTGACGGGAGACATAAACGCCGAATGGTTGAGAGACTCTACGAACCAGCTGGCTCAATATCAACTCCTTGCCAAATCCGCCCCGGACATATCGAACCTCGTCCTCGGAGCGATCAATACACAGGCGGAGTTTGTGATATCTTCACCTTACTGCAACGCATTCCAGCCTCCGGACCCGTCCCGTCTGGCCCCAGTTCACTCGGGTCAAGACGATATCGTCCATCCGGCCTACGAACCCACCGTTGTGTTTGAATGTAAATACGAACTCGACAGCCTGGCAGCGTTCCTCAAGCTGACGAATGAGTACTATGCGTCCACGGGCTCGACGGCCTTTTTGACGACTCGATGGTTCAAGGCTCTTGACGCCCTCTTGCAAGTACTGGATGCGCAGGCTAGACCGACCTTTAACCCGACAACGGGATGGTACGAGCGAAATCAATACACATTCAGCCGCTGGACGCGTGTTGGGACAGAAACTCTCAATCTGGAGGGCACAGGAAACCCCTTGGGAGGTGGAACGGGCTTGATTCGCTCTGCCTTCAGGCCCTCGGACGATGCAACCATCTTCGGCTTCCTCATTCCTGCAAACGCAATGATGTCTGTTGAACTATCTCGCGCGGCGAAAATGCTCAAGTCGGCCGGCGTGGCCTCTTCGCAAGAACCGCAAGCAACGCACATGATTCAAGTTGGTGACGACCTCGCCCAGCGTGCAGAGACCATCAAAAATGGCATCTACAAGCACGCCGTCGTCACGCATCCAGACTTTGGACAAGTCTTTGCATACGAGGTCGATGGGTATGGATCCCACCTCCTCATGGACGACGCGAACATCCCTTCTCTCCTCTCGCTGCCTCTCCTCGGCTTCGTCGACGCCGACGACGAAATCTACCAGAACACGCGACGCATGATCCTCACCCAACGCGGAAACCCGTATTTTCTCAAGGGCTCTAAATTCCAAGGCATCGGTGGTCCACACATCGGCTTGCGCAACGCGTGGCCCATGTCCGTCATCGTGCAGGCCATGACGTCGACTTCCGACGCCGAGATCCTCGAGTGTCTCGACACGGTGAAGAACGTGAGCGTCTTCGGCCTGATCAACGAGTCCGTTGACGTCACCCGGGGCGTCAAGCGAGGCGGTGGCGGCGAGGGCATGACACGCAGCTGGTTCGCCTGGGCCAACAGCGTCTTCGCCCAGGCCGTCCTGTGGCTCGCCGAACACAAGCCAGCACTCGTCCTGCAGGACAACGAGGACGGAAGTCCCGCTAAGGGGTATCGTGTCGGTGTTGGCTGGGTGGAATACTCTGTGTGATTATGTGGGTACCTAGTACCTGTAGGGGATTGTATCCTGGATGAGAACTCACAACGGAACGGAAGCGAAGGGAATGGAACAGATCGGATCGAGATGCGTGATGAGCATTCTTCGCCAGACCAAGTACTTTTGCTGTACTGCATAATGATATGATATGATCCTATAATCGACCAACGAATGCATCGAGCAACCAATTCCCGATGGATTTTCAGCGTAGCCGCGGTAGCGCATAGTCCACCGAACGCGAGGTGATGCGTACTGGTAGTCCGATCCTACTGTGTGTACTGAGTATCTTACTCGTACCTCGTATGTCAAGCTGAAACGAGATCGTAATTTTTGTATACACGAGTATGTAACTCGGCAATCGGTACGCGGTACGAATACGAGTACATACGCAGTGCATGTGCATG